GGGCCGCGCGGGGGCTCCCGAGGCGCAGGAGCCCGCAGCCTCGGGCACCGCGGCTCCGGAGGGAGGCGACCGCTGCCGCGGCTACTACGACGTGATGGGCCAGTGGGACCCGCCCTTCAACTGCAGCTCGGGTGTCTACAGCTTCTGCTGCGGCACGTGCGGCTACCGCTTCTGCTGCCACGACGGCCCGCGCCGCCTGGACCAGAGCCGCTGCTCCAACTACGACACGCCGGCCTGGGTGCAGACTGGCCGGCCGCCCGCCCGCACCCGTGACACAGCCGCCCCGCGCGATCCGGGCCGCGAGCGCAGCCACACTGCGGTCTACGCGGTGTGCGGTGTCGCCGCGCTACTCGTGCTGATTGGCATCGGGGCACGCCTGGGCCTGGAGAGAGCGCACAGCCCGCGCGCTCGGCGCACGGTGACCAGGTGAGCGCGCCCTCCAGCCCGCCGCGCGTGCCCTCACCGTCCCCGCCTGGGTCCAAATTCCCCTGCAACTGCACCCTTCTCGACCCCCCCTGTAACTCTAGGCTTCTTGGCAGCCTCTTCTCCCTTTTTGCTTTTGTTTCTTCTGGATCTCTCTCTCCTGCCCCCGCAGGAGCTACCTGATATCCTCTCCCCTTGACCTTCCCTGCCTATCCTGGGCTCTGGGTCGTTCTCCTTGTAGCTCTAAACCTCTTCTACGCAAGACAAAAATTCGGCGTCCAGGGGAGGGGGCATGCATGGACGATGGCCAGGCAGGACACGGACTGGGGCAGTATCGAGGGTGGTCCTGGGCGGAGAGAAGGGAGAGGGTGGTGCTTGGCCGGTTCCCCTGCTGCGTCTCCCACTTTCCCCTCCCTCCCTCCCACCTCCATCCATTTCTCCAACCCAGTGTGACTCAAACCTGACCTTCATTCCTTGGAGTTTCAGACGCGCGTCCCCTCAATAGCCCCCAGGCAAAGGTCTGTCTCTCCGGTTGCTCAGATGGGACTCAAGTGTTGGAGGAAATAGAGACCTGTGTGTTTCGGAGATCTGCCAGGTGCTGGCTCAAGTTTTGAGCTTATTTTGAATTTTCAGCCGGATGGGAATGCTGAGATTCTGTCCTGACCCTGGAGCTCTCTCTCCACCTCCGCCGCTTATGTCCCCAGCAAATCCCGTGTTCTGCTTGTGTGCTCTCCCTAACCACCCACGTCCCAGCCTGGTCAGACTGTTGACACCACGTGCAACAGGCTGCCATCGGGAGTGACAGCAGAGAGAGGTCCCCCTCTCCCAACCTGGTGGACCAGATGTGGATGTCTCAGGGGCAGAGCACGAGACTTGTTGCCACCGGACCACTTAGCCCATCCCTTCCAGACAGCTGGAGGGCAGAACTGGGATGGGATCCTGTATTTCTCCCCTAGCTACTGAATGGCCAGCATGAGTGTTTAGTGTGTGTGTGTGTGTGTGTGTGTGTGTGTGTGTGTGTGTGTGTGTGTGTGTTCTGAATGCTGCCGAGGCTCAGCCCCTGAATTTGGGATCTCTGGTGCAGGACAGAGGTAGCAGTGGGTCAGAGAAGCAATGGGAGCTGAGACCCATTGGGGTGGAGGGGTGGTTGGGCTAGTCCATGCCGGCTTGTTCATGTGCAACACCTGTCTGCAAATTCCGATCTGGTTATATGCCCATAAGAATGTGCCTTGACTCTCCTCTTTGGGCTCCTAGGCGGGTGTGTTCTGAACCCCTGCCCAAATTTCTTTTTGATTCTGCCATGCTGATACAGATGGCTAAGGAGAGGCTTCTCGGAGGGCATGGAGGGGATTGAAGCAGGCTTTGGAAGTATGTGTGTGCAAAGGCCCAGAGGCACAATAATTCCGCCTTTACTTGGGAGAACTGGATTATCAGTGCTCGTCCTGGTATGTGTCCACTCAGGCAGGCTGCAGACCCTTTTGGACCCTGCCACCCTGCAGCTGATCCTTGGCCGCTTCAGGTGTCTCCCATTATGCCTCTTCATTAATCAGTCATAGCCCAGTCCCAGAAGGAGGGTCAGACGGAGTAGGAGGGAATCATGGGTTCTGGGTACTGCAGGCAGCTGGGCTCAAGGCCGGGCTGCCTATGGGAAAGGCTCAGCCAGACACTGTCACAGCTGGGTGGGGGCTGGGTGTGCTGGGTACCCAGGGAGGCAGCTAGCCAAGGTCACACAGCCTTTGGGTGCAGGGCTGTCACAGAGGGAATCTCTTTTCTTCATTGTCTGCCTTCCTTGCCTGTGTGACAGCTAGGTCCCAGGCCCAGCAGAAACATACACTGCAGGGTGCAGGTAAGGGAGACCTTGGAGGAGGGACTCTGGCAGCATCTGAATGAATAAGAGTACGGGAGGAGCCAGGCGGTGGTGGCACGCACCTTTAATCCCAGCACCCAGGAGGCAGAGCCAGGTGGATCTCTGTGAGTTCGAGACCAGCCTGGTCTACAGAGAGAGATCCAGGACAGGCACCAAAACTACACAGAGAAACTGTCTCAAAAAATGAAAAAAAAAAAAAAGTGTGGGAGGAGGTGAAGAGAAGGGGACTGGATGCAGAGAGCTTTGCTGGGACCTCAACAGGGAGGGCCTCGGGGAGTGAACCTCGGGAAGGAACCTCAGGAAGACGAGGTGGCCCTCGTTCCATATGACCTCATTACTTGCCTGACCTGCTTTGGGAGATGGCCATCTTGGGACCACAAGTGAGGCTGACGGGTCATGCCTGGTAGGGGAAATGAGATCTCTGAGGTCAGTCACTAGAAAGGACGGAAGGGAGGGGTCCAGAGAGGTTCAAGGAACTGCCCAGAGATACAAAGTGAGACCGTGGGGGGCTGGTGAGATGGCTCAGTGGTTAAGAGCACTGGCTACTCTTTCAGAGGACTCGTAGCAACAAAAATTATTTAATGGTTGGGGGGGGGGTCACCACAACATGGGGAAGTGTATTTGAGGGTCGCAGCATGAGGAAGGTTGAGAAGCACTGGTTTATGACCACCTGTGACCCCAGTTCCAAGAATCGGATGTCCTCTTCTGGCCTCCGAGGGCACCAAGCAAGCATGTGCTACAGGCAAAACACCATATGCATAAAATAATAAAGTAAGGGGTTGGGGATTTAGCTCAGTGGTAGAGCGCTTGCCTAGCAAGCACAAGGCCCTGGGTTCGGTCCTCAGCTCCGGGGGTGGGGGGGGGGAGAATCAAAACAAAACGAAGGAGACAGTGGTGGCTCCTGCCAGCCTTATCTGGCTGATGGGGAGGCGGCGGGGGGGGGGGGTGTAAGTCCGCTCGGTATCTTTCCTTCTCCACAGGACACTGACAGAACTTCTCAAGCAGCCGAGCCCCCAGGAACCCCTGCCTCCACCTCTGGGCCCACACCTGGGTAACTGTGTCCAGGTCCAAATGGGTGATGGTGTTCTTCGGGGTTCCCCCCTCAACAACACAGGTGAGTAGGCTAGTGGATGGGCATCGGCCCATCTGTGGAGTCAGTGGAGGAGGTGCTGGGAGTCGGGAGAGTCGCTTGGTTGGCTAGGGAGCAGAGGTGGGACAGCGGCTGCCTGCCCTGTATGTTGCCGGTGCAGGAGCGTGATTGGGGTCTGGACCAAGCCCTGGTGGAGAGGAACCATCTCTTGGGCAAGGGTGCTGTGAGAAAGACTCCAGATTTAGGATATACTGGCTAGGGCTGTGGTTCCCAGGCTCTGGCCTGTGGGGTCTGGAACCCGCCCTCTTGGTCTTCTTGGCGGTTCCCCCAACCTTCTACATGTCGGGTTCCGGAGGAGTTCAGTGCCCTTGCATCTCTGTGGGGATTCGGCAGCGCCTTGCTAGCGAGCAAGCCATCCAATGGGGGTAGCATCCTTCCGGGCTTTGCGGCCATCGTTCATGTTTTTGTGAGCCAAGCCAGAACGTTCGGACAGCCATCCATGCTCCAAGCTGCCTGGAGCTGCTGTGGGGGAGGGCGTTGAGAAGAGGTGGTGGCGTAGGCAAGGTCGGCTTTCTTTCTCTACCCCCCGACTCCCCTCTAGACAAGAAACGCCTCAATAATGCACCTCTGGGATCTGCTACCCCGGGCCCCCCGCGCGGCCCCCGGCTGCAGGGTGGCGGCAGCCTGACATTGCAGCCCGACTACACCAAGTTCGCCACTCTCAAAGCAGCAGCCCTCAAGGCCACAGGTGAGGTGCATGTTGCTGGCGCCAGTTCCCCAGGGATGCAGGGATCCAGCCTTCTGGCCCTCAAGGGTAGCCGGCTCGGCCAATCAGAGCTCAGGACGTTCCTCAAGCAGCCAATCAAGCTCCCTCAGCAGCTGACCCCGGCTCCTAGGGCAGGTGCTGCGATGCCTGACCCGCTCCGTCCTGTCCCTCCCCCCCCCCCCGCCCCCCCCCCCCCGCAGAGGCTGCACCCCAGGACTTCTATCAGCGCTTTCCCTCTACCGAGCCGGCTCCGCGGACCCTCCCTGCGCGGACCCCGCGTCCTCCGGAGGACTTGCCTGCGCTGCTCGAAGCCTGTCCCTGGGCCCCTCCGGGTTACGTACCTCCCGCCGGCCCTGTCTCGTCGGTCCCCTATGCGGCCTGGACCGCGGGCCGCCCCGCGCGGCCGGTTCCCCGTGGCCACTTGGTGGCTCAGGTCTCCCCTGCGCCCCGGCGGCCCAGCCACGTGCCGCGGCGTCAGTTCAGCGTGGAGAAGCTGCCCGAGGCCTTCAGCGCGCAGCCCGCCACCTTTTACAGCAGCGCGGGCAGAGGGCCCCGGCACCTAAGCACCAACAGCAAGGCCGAGGTCACCGTCTGAAGCAGAACTGCTAGAGCCTTCTGCGTGGTCCTGGGCCCCAGGCCGTGGAGTGGCAGTGCTGGCTTCGATCCAGACGGGACTGGGGACATTTGGAGCCGGTGGCTAAAGGGGCCAAAAGGGTAGGGCCAGGTGTTCTGCCCTTGGGAACGTAGGGCTATCCGTACCTGTGTAAATAAACCCTCTAATGTGGTTCCAGTCCCAAGGGGATCATCAGTCATTGACTGTACAAGACCGTAGTGCAAGCCAGAGAGCGTGGCTCGGGTGAATGCCAAACGTTGTTGCTCAGAGCTGAAGGAGTCATAGAAGAGAGCAGGTAGGCCTGAGTCATCTTAAGGCCTGGGTTCAGGGCAGAGGGTCTGTTGGACCCCTGTGTGTGTGTGTGTGTGTGTGTGTGTGTGTGTGTGTGTGTGTGTGTGTGTGTGTGTATGTGTGTCTGTGCTCTCCTGGAGGCTAGCCCCTCCCCACCCGCAGCTGATCTCTCACTCAACGGTTTGAGTTAGCTCAGCCTGGCTGATCCTCACAGTCTGGCCCCAGGCCGGCTCCTGGCCTGCAGGCTGCTTGGCCAGATTGGCCCAGGGCCACCCCCCTAATGGGTGTGGGCCACATGGACATCTGGTGCTCAGGAGAGAGGAGCCTCCCGGGAGCTGCTCTGGGGTTAGGGGGATGGAGATGTTGGAATGCAAGCCTGGCAATGCCCCTCCCTTGGGGTGCTCCCGCTGCAGCACCCCTGCAAGGGGTTGGTTGGCACTGCCAGCTCTCTCCCCCTTCCTGCCAGAAGCTCCCAGTACCTGGCCGAGGCCCAGGGTACTGTCATAGCCTCTTTGCATCTTCCCCAAGTCCCTCAGTTCCAGGTTCTGGTGTGTGTGGGGATACCCTAGCTACAGCCAGGTGAGGTATATGCCCTTCGTTTGTTCGTTCCCAGGGTTGGCACACTGGTACTATTTGTTGCCATCTCTAATCCTAAGAGACCTGTGGGGCTGTCTGCAGATAATGAAGGTTTGGGGACCTAAGTACCTTGCCCAGGGTCACTCAGGCCACCTGCCACGCTGATGAAGGTCTTGAAGCGTGACCCTTCTGCTCAAGAGCCTTGTGTGTTCACCGGGGCTAGGCGGAGGCCAAGTGAGTGTGCTGGTTGGCCCTCCTGGCTGCTCTAACCTCTGCAGGGTACTCCTCTGCTGATGCCCCTTAGCATGTGGTGCAGGGTTGTTCCTCGGCCAGATGAGCACACAGATGAACAGGACACAGCCACACACCAAACAGTTCAGCCTCAGGCTCATTCTCAGATGGAATGAATCCTCCACTCTACCTCTACCAAGGCCCAAATACTCTGTGTGGTCTTACCACCCACCTCTGCTTACCACCACAGCTTCACAAAGCACTCACCGAACACTGGTAATTCACACGTCACATCGCTCTAAATGAGCACTACGCCTGTGGTGCTGAGGTCAAAGGTAGGAATTAGCCATCCCATTCTGCATGCATGCAAGTGGAAGCTCGGGGCAGTTCACCAAAGCGACTGCTGGGAAATACAGAACCGTACTTGTATGTGACCACCAACTGGTGAGCTGCTTAGGACCTGCCTCCAATAAGTGGAAACAAAGGAGTGTCCCACCTGATGGAGAAGTGACTTGACACCTCAAGTTCAAAGACGTGCCGCCAGCCAGCCAGCTCAATGGCCAGGCAAGGGGCTGGGACCTGGATAACAGCCCTTTTACCCAGACCCTCACCCATCCCTACAGCGTGTCTGGTACGCCTGTGGACAAGGAAGGACCATCGGACTGCAGCCACCTGGCTGCTCTTAGTCCCTAGCTCACTGCTGGCCAAGTTCGGCAGTCATTTGGTTAAGTCATCGCAGAGGTCATACTACAGACTCACACAGCTTGTGTTAGGTGGTACCAATCTGTGTTTATTGAATAACCCTATGTCTAGCACATGGTGAATGAAGGAAGACATAGGTGTATCCCGTTCAGTGAAAAACCACCCTCCCACCCCTCAACAAGGAGAAAAGGCACAGTATATACACAGGACACAAGGGCCGGGCTGCCCCATGGGTGGGGCCATAAATTACAGTGACAGTCAGGAGAAAGAGGATAGGATAGGTGGGGTCCAAGCATAGGAAGGGCCCGCCCCACCTACTCTCTGCTTCAACCAGCCTGAAGAAGCACGAGGAGGGAGGGCTCCTCTCAAGTCTCGCAGGAAGCCCTGAGCCAAGCAGTCCAGAAAAGCAGGACCACTCTTCTTCCTAGGACTCCCCCATCTCAAGGCAAGATAACCTGATTCCTGCTGCCTACCCTGAAAAGAGAGAGGCTTGCTGCTGGGGAGGGCTTGGGACCAGTGTCTGCCACCCTGGCCTATTCACAGACAGGATTAGGGATAAAAAGAGGCTCTATGGGAGGTAGGATGTAGGCTGGGGGTAGAAAGGAAAAAAAAAAATAAATCATGCTGAAGACCCCTGGATCCCAGACCCAATGGTGGCTTCATCCTGTCCAGCCCCTTGGGCCTACCCTGAGCTCAGGCTGCCATCTCAGGGGGTGGAAGAGTGGGAAGGAACAGGACAATTAAATAAGATACCATTTATTTTTTAAAAAATTAAAAAACAATGCCAACATTATTTTATCCATCCCTAGACCTGCCCCTGCCTCCCACACACCTCCCCAGGGCTGGGCTCCCTTCCTTCCCTGGCTGTCCCTTGTAATGATGAGAAAGCAATGACCAGGCTTAGGCAGGCCTAGGGGAGAGAATGCAGGCCCAGGGAGAAATCCAGATGCCATAGCAACTTTGCCCTGTATCGTGGCAGGCCCAAGTACACACATATAAAAACATCTGTATAAAAAGGGGCATGCCAGATAAGTCCAAAATGCTCTCTGGTGCACAGAAACCTAGTTCCCAGAGAAAGCCTGATGATAAAAAAAGAAAAACATAACAAAAACCCAAAGAGGCAGAGAGGGGCACTCAGAGTCTCCAGAGGGCTGGGGAGGGGCTCGGCAGCACCCTATGTTGCTTTCAAGGGAGGCGATCACCCCATTCCTGCTCAGCCCACCTGGGCTTAGCCATGGGCATTTACTGCAGCAGTCTTAAGGAGCTTTGCCCATGGCGCTACTGGCCTGGAATGATCCCAAAGCCTTGACAGGTGCCAGCTCAGAAAGTCAGTCTTGCCTTCATCCTCACAGCTCTTGGAGGGAGGAAAACAGATGGGGAGACAGTCTGAGAGACAGAGGGAGGATCCTGGGAGACAAAGACAAAGGTGGAAAGAGGTGAACCAGGCCCTGGGCGTGGTCAGGAGGCAGCGATGGCAGTGCCACCACCCAGCTTGACGATCATCTGCTGGCAGTCGTTGCAGGAACGCCGGTCGCCCACCTTCTCCAGGGTGCGGGCGGCTTCAGCCAGCAGCACTGCCCGCTGGCCCGGGGAAGACAGGAAAGACAGTGGAAGGTGGCGGCAGGCCAGCAGGATGGCAGTAGCTCGCTCTCGCTGGCCGGGCCAGGTGTCTACCTCTCCTGTGGGAGTGAGATTTATGTAAGCCTGGTCCCAAGGACTTCGTGTGGCCTCATTTGTTGAACTCACCCCTCAGCTGTGAGGAGGTATGTTCTGCTCTCTCCCAAGTCCTCCTCACAGGACAGAAGATGGACCTGGAGGCGGTGTAGCCACTGGTGAGGTCCCATGAGCCTCTGAACAAACTTGATGATGAAATTCACTGGGTCACTGACATACAGCCGCTGTGTGGGCTGAGCTATGTGAACCCATGCCGCTCCTCCCTGCTTCTGCACTGGACGATATCCTAAGCCGGTATCCATTCATGACACTCAGCTAACACCATCCCTGCTGCCCACTGAGTCAAGTGCCAGCTCCACTACGTAGCCAAGAGAGGCAAGTGTGTAGAGCACACTCTGCCAGATGCCAGGGCTCCCTCCTCCCTCCTCCCTGAGTGCCAGCCCCCCCAGGCCTGTGGTAAGGGAGCTGCTGCACTCACCGTGCTTGCTGTTCTGACTGGTGCGCCGCCGCAGGCTATGCTCCAGCAGCTGGTGTGTGCGGGTGGGGCTGGCTCCGGCCATCAAGCGCACAGTGGCTTCATGCAGGAACACCTGGCAGGTACAGGGGCCTCAGTCAAACTCCTGGGTTCTGGCCCATCTGATCCTAGTGGCTATGTCTCGAGCAACCTCCTCTTCTACCCGATGCCTCCCTCTCTCTTCTCCATATCACCCTGCCTTTCTCGCTCCTGGAGAGCAACCTACCTTGTCCTCAAGTCAAGCTAGAAACCTAGATGAACCGTAGGAATGGGGACAGAGCACAGGCCAGCCGCTGGGCAGCAGCAATACTAGGTGAGCCAGAGGCCAGAGGGAGCTTTTCCTGGTGGCAACAAAGCCCTGTGGTATTCTCTAGGGTTTGAAGGCGAGTTAGGGTGAAGCCTTGTCCTTGAAGGCTGTGTCCCAGTAGGCCAAAAGGACAAAGGAGGAGAGAGAGGGATGAGGGGCAACGGCTAGGTTGGTATCAAGTTCAATATCTTATTTCTTCAGAAAGGAACGGAGTCTGGACTCACAGTCTTGTTTGGCCCTTTGACATTGCAACCCAACACTGTCTTCTACAAGGCCATGCCTAAGAACTGTGCAATAAAGCCAGCCCTCCCTTCCCCTCCCTCCCCACTGGCAAAAGATCACATACACAGAAATCTCATTATAAGTTCGGGGTTTTTTTTCTTTTTCTTTTCTTAGCATTTCTCTGTGTAGTCCCGGCTGTTCTGGAACTCACTCTGTAGACCAGGCTGGCCTTGAACTTAAGAGATTCACCTGCCTTTGCCTCCCGAGTACTGGGATTACATGCATGCGCCACCACATCTGGCTCTTAAATTGTGATTTTGTGTTCAGCCACTCGTTGCTCTCTGGTCACAGGTGGCTGGGCTGTAGGTGGGTTGGCTGGGCCTGGCACATGTTTCCTGGGATAAGTCAGTAGCTCTTTTTTTGTTTCTGAGACAGGGTCTTACTGTGTAGTCCTGGTTGGCCTAGAACTCCTGTTGTACACCACGATGGCTTCAAATTCACAGAGATCCACCTGCCTCTGCCCCCCCCCCCAAGTGCTAGGATTAAAGGTGTGAGCCACCTACCATGGCAGCTAAAAAAAAAAAAATGTCTTTTGTTGTGTGAACATGTGAGTGTGGAGAGTAAATGCCACATTATGCACATGGAGGTCTGAGGATGATCCGT